TAATAAGTGTACCAAGTTTGAACGAAATCCATACATAAATGCTTGATATTAGATGATTTTTTAGCACAAAAAAGGCCACCATTTGGCCATTTTGAATAGGATCGTCAAACCAATATATCTGTCTATCTATGACATGATTTATAATAAATATTTAAAATTTGAACATAATCAGTGAAAACAAGTCAGAGATATGGCACGAGAACCATATTCATTAAAACAAAATGGCCACCAGCCATTTTGAATCTTATCTGAAAAACAAAATTATTTGCATCAAGGTCCCATAATGTCTAATGTATATACCAAGTTTGAACAAAATCCATCTGTAAACAGCCGAGAAATGCTTGATTTTTATGAATTTTTAGCACAAAAATGGCCGCCATTCGGCCATCTTAAATCAGATCGTGAAACAAATTGCCGTGCATATGTATAATATCATGTATGATGTATGTGTGAAGTTTGATTGTGATTAGTCAAGGCATTTCTAAGATATAGGTCCGGACGCATGCACGGACACACAGAGGTCAAAACATAAGTCCCCGTTTTCGGACTGCGGGGACCAACTAAAGAGATTTTTTGAGAAGCAGAAGTTTTTAGTATAACCATACACATGATCCAGAGCAAGTATATTCAACCCTCTGAGTATCAACATCAACTTTTGTCACAATTCACAATAAATTAGATTTTTAAGGTGAAAACCTTTAGAATTCCCTAATTCCAAAGGATAATCCAGACAAAGATCAATAATTTGAATTCAATTACTCAGAAATTTAATAAATTTTCCATGGAAAGGTCAAACTACAATGTTTTTTTGTTTTGTTTTTGGCATCTTTTGGAAAATTCAACCATTGAGTCCTCCCACAATAGTGCATCAGGAAAAGTATAATACCCCCTGGTACACAAATCCGAGACAGTCAGAAAATTTAGAATCTCTATGAATATTAAGTAAATATTAACCAACAATTGCCTGTATTGTACACTGCATCTTGCTGTGATGTATTTATGACATAGAATACAGTAAATGATATAATTTGACACTAACCTTGCTGAATTATGTATTTATGCCATAGAATACAGTAAATGATATAATTTGACACTAACCTTGCTGTTATGTATTTATGACATAGAATACAGTAAATGATATAATTTGACACTAACCTTGCTGTGATGTATTTATGACATAGAATACAGTAAATGATATAATTTGAAACTAACCTTGCTGTTATGTATTTATGACATAGAATACAGTAAATGATATAATTTGAAACTAACCTTGCTGTGATGT